CCCCTCGAAAACTCTATCGTTGTAAACTCAATAAGAGTAAAAATGAAACAAGCTTCTTGACGTTGGTTATTGTAAATGGTTGCAACAGATCACTGATCAGTGACCATAGTGAAGTAGTTGCTGGGTAAATGTTGTCACTTTTTTAAGAGCGTCCTCCGTAATACAGAATTATTTTTAAGTAGGAGAATGGCGCTGCGTACTAGGAGACGACGGCGAAGAGCGAGAGAAAAGTCACATGGCGTCGGTCCTGATAATCTGGAATACACCTAACCATGGACGTGAAATGGCGCCCTTTGCACTTTTCCCTGGTTTCGAACTCTTTTCACCTTGCCAGTCAGTGAGAAGGTTTGATTGTCGATCGAAGTGTAGATTCTGTCAGTAAAGAGAAGAGTCTATCCAGTGTCATACGGTTACATATCGACTGTTCTTCTTTGTTAGCGAATGCTCTTCCCGTGGAGATCATGGTCCCTTTTAATTTGAATGAATCATTTCTTTTGAGATTTTGTATCACTGGATTTGAATTCCGGTAGTAAAATAATCCATTTATTGCACTGAATGCGATTCCTTTTTTCCTGGAGGTTTCATCAATTAAATTTTCTTACGTTCATCGAACGTCTCTTCCACCAAGCACTCTTCGATAGGGTTCCTCCTCCGACATCAGCCAAACAATGGGCTCACTAGTATGTGTTAATTTAATTTCAACAATTGTCGTAACTAATCTGAATACCAGAAAACACTTTTCGGTAACTGCATTACTCCGATAAATTATAATTTATCTCTCTAATAAGAGATCTTATGCTAATCCCCGTTCTTGCGTGTCAACTATTAGCTAGAAACACAAGAGAAAAACAATAAGCCAAATAAAGAATGAACTTTATTTATCCAATGTGGACAGAATTTTCAGTGGAAAGAATGCTATCGCTTTTGCTTTGGTATGCGCGCTATTAAAAATGAGCTTTGAGATATGATAAATAGTTACTGCGATAATAATGAATAGGACACCGAGAACGCGTAAAAAAAAAGAAAATTTCAACGTGAAAATTTACATTAGACTGTGTATAAGTTCGTTTGATGTTCGCTCCCCAGAAACCAACAAACGTGAAAGGTTAGGTACAATGGAGTTGTGAAAAGCAGTGGCATGAGTATATAAAGGTTTCAGTTTATTGCGGGTTACAGAAGTTGAAATAAAGCTAGATAGGCCTGTGTGTAAGGGATGTGACGCATCGAACAAGATGGGGTACCACAGGCGGTCACACGCGTTCAGGTGTTGGTTGACAAAAGAATCAGCCAGCTCCTCATAAGATACAGCTCCATATCTAGAGATGCTTTTCAGAGAGCGTCACATACGCTTGTGAATACGATTCAACTGCCATGTACAGGCTTGATTCGATTCAGAACAACGGATTGGTTTCTAGTATAACTGAAGTAATCTTTTACAGAAAAACAATGGTAATACGATTCAGTACTGGATAAAACAACGTAAAATCAACTGTGGTCTTAAGTTAACGACGTTCCATGTTTGACAAAGCGTGACGAAGGTAAGCTATACTGTTTTGGCTTTCGCGATCGCAACAAGGTAGAGTTCAGGCAATTTCGAAAAGGATTCCACTACAATTTGGTGTTGCGGATCTTGTACAGGAAATTATGCGCGACTCTGAGAGTTTAAAGGGGTACTCTTTTCCTGTTTTCTACGCCGAGCTAAGTCGTTATAACTTCAAATGAATATATATGTAATGCTGGTCAATAAGTCCCTCTCATTGTGGTTTTTTATCGCCTGTAGGGGAGGGGGTAATAAGAATGATTGACACGTTCGATTCTACTTGATAAAATAAGTTTGTTGATCAACGGGAAAAATTCCGAACACAGGTGCGCATTTACTGAACAGTTTTTTGTTTCCTAATCTCACAGGCGACCGCAGACCTGTTTTCAGAACGTGCTAAAATATCGACTTCAATTTAGAATATAAGGCGTTTATTACGTAGTCGCTTTATTTGAGAATACAATTCAGCAATTTCAAGCTGAACGTCAATGACGTTCACAGTTTTGTCGGTTTCATTTATCCTGTTTGACAACCGACATTTCCGCCAACCGGATAAGATGCAATCGATGGCTTTTATGACGTGAATTGAGAAGCCGATGTACACTTCAGTCTTCTTCTGTCTGTATCACATATAGTTGACCTGATTCAGATTGCACGGAATAAGCACACCGGACTTAATTGGTTTTGTATCATCTATGGTATGCATTGTCAGTTGTGATAGTCTATCGATTTCTGCTCTATTACATGAATTTATCTAACCGGGTTTGCAACCTATTACCTCACTTTTTGTTGTCGATTTTCACGGTATGCCGCTCAGCACTCACTCCTAACACGCTCGATTTGTTTGCTCGACAGGTGTCGGAAGGAGTTCAACCAATGTGGAACTATCATATCCAAGGCAATTCGTGCCGGTCGTGGCCAAAGCCTTTGGAATGGCCGCCATTGATATGGTCGACATTGATTATAAAGGTACTATCTTAGTTCTGCCCATTTGTATATTTTCCAATTTTGCTTACTTTTTTCTCTGTAGACACCGACAAACTAAAGAATAACTGTGAACTGGGCTCCCAATTCGGTTTTGACGGAAAGCAAACAATACACCCGTTGCAATTGCCAATTGTCAATCAGGCATTCACACCTGCTTCAGCCCGGGTAGAATGGGCTAGAGCCTTGTTAGAGGCGGCAAAAGCGCATCACTCCACGGGCGACGCAGTTGGTGCTCATGCATTCACATTTCGTGGGCGTATGATTGATCGGCCAACATTGCGGCAAGCGGAACATATAGTTCACCTAACTGATCTGGTACATCTGAGGGCGGCAGATGTCAAACCACTTAGACCCTGATTTGATACTTATTATTTCTTTATTCTCCTAGTTTTTTTTTACTTTGTTTGGTATTTCGCAATACAAGTGGCTCTTTTTCACATAAAATTGCACGCTCTGATGTATTTGCGGTGTCCTTTCAGCTGACTTCAGACTTCAAGTGAAACCGTTGTGACTTCAATTGAACTCAGCTAATTGCATTCTGTAGTTCTAAAGAGAACCGCACACGATGTTTGGTACCTCGATCACCATGACCGATTGGGCCAAGAAGATGAATGTTGATTGTGCATTGGGCCCGAGAAGATAGGAAAATTCCATTTCAGCACTTTATAATCAGTATCAAACTTCACTGAAGCATAACTCATATGGAAGCTATTTTGCTCAAGACCGCTTAATGCAATGACAGCTGAAGTTACCCTATATAAATTTGATTGATGTAGCCGCCTGGTAATTGGTGGAACAATGGGCATACTTCCAGAACTTCAGATTTCATCAGCATTGCGAATCCGTTGACCCAACGTAGAATCAAACCCGGGATCTCTCAAGTAGAACGCAAGCATACTACTCACTCGAACACCGGTCATCTTGCCTGTACACGCTATATCACCACCCATCATTGAGAGCTTAATGCGGGCATCACATACAGCCTACTTGAACTCTAGGGTTCACACTGTTGAGACCCGACCTGGTCGAAACAGTTGTCCAGTGCTTACTTACTCCTCAGATCACTTCGTTTGCTCTGTACACGACGTTCACTATTCGAATAAAATAACCAACCACTCTTATGACACTAGGTTTTAAAAAAACCTCAGTATTCGAACATGGCTTTTCTATGCGACCGATTGTAGCGTGATCCAGCCCAATTGACACTGCGTTGTTGGTATTTGCACTCCGTTTACCAGCCACAGCCTGGAAGGTGTCCCTATGCCTACGATTACTAAATCCAACGTTCACCGGTATGCCCTCATTACCCTTGCAGACCATTTCCCCAGGCGTAGTATCCTCCTGAAGGATGCGTGAAGAGGAATTTCCGTTAGCCCCAGGATAATTCTTGGTGCCGGAACACTACATAGTCTCTCTTTTGCTGTTCAGTGTAAGGGTTCAGTAATACCCTTGATTACAACGTTTCTATGCCTCCCGAGTACAATTTCTGTATTGACTTCGAGGTTATTTTATTCTGCCCGAGTTTCCTGCGCCAAATATCTTAGCTTGGTTAAGTAACTAGCTTGTTAGTTCAAGGAGGGCGATATCATCTCCAGTTGACGTACAATGTCTGTCCTAACTTTATTCAATCCCTTCGGATAAAACAGCCTGTGATCTGCCTTTCCTTTCTATCACTTTAATGTTCAAAAAGGGTTTATCGTAGATTCTTGGAAGCGCTCAACCTGGGGCTGGATTGGAGCTTTGCTATTTCAGTGGGGTAATCATTTTACATATTCCTGGCGAAGTCAGTTGCTGGGTCACTGGCGTTTATTCACACATGTTAGAGTTCAGACTATGTGCCAAAAAAAATCTCGGTACAATCGTCTTTATAAAAAGAAAATCGTGCCATGATTTGCTCGTGGAAGCGATACTCCCGGACCAAGGCAGGTGAATTTTTTTGAGGAATTCACAACCGGGGCCTTCGGCTAGCCAAAGCCTGACCCACAAGGTAGCGGGGTGGTGTGTGAAAAGCGCAATCCATTGGGGAC